GCACAGATTTGGAGTGTCTTCTAGACTGCTATGAGGCGTCTTTCGTATTCTCACGGTCAAGGGTGATGGAGATTAAACAAGATGACGACGGACAAAGCGTTGAAAACGTAGATCTGAGCAATATCCTGCAGCTCAAATGCAGTATGTTCAGAGATTGCCTTATTCAAGCTATTATGGCGCACTGTCAGCGACATGATGATGTCCTATTGCTAGCTGAGATCATAAGATTATATTCAATTATGGAGCCAGGAGATTCCCTAAGGAGAGCTATTAGGAATATACATATATTGAAAGGAAAATCGTGCATCACCGACATTAAACATGATGAATTCTAGCGTCAATTGAACGCTAGTTTATTGGAACAGGTGGCCAAGTCACAAGAGTATATTAGTCAAGTGCAGAAAATAGTTGAAGGTGTGGAAAAAATTCAAATTTTGGGCTACAAGAGGGATCGGTTAAACCAGAGCATATTTTTAAAAGATAGGTTACTCAGGATTGCTAGTTTGAATGCTCCAGATCCGTTAAGATGCTTTACTAGTGTAGAACCTGGCAGCAAGGGGATATGAGATGAGATGCAATACTGAAAAGAGAGCAGGGTATTATATATCTAAACTATCGCGGCGTTTGGAAGCATCTTGCTCTTAGAACTAGTTATTCAAATTACTATTCTTTGTTAATTACCACTTTCAACATCATGTAGGCGAACATTCACTTAAACTGTCGACATACAACCTTGCAAGCGATCATATCTCTGTCCCATTCTTTGCGATTGTGGCTTCAACATCGCTCCGAAGCTACGCCACATCATGCTTTAGCTGCTGAGGTAATCTGATTAGTGGGTATTAGCAAAATGGATTCAGGCTAAGTCATTTGCTTATCTAAGAAGTACTGCATGGGTAGAAGTACGCTAGAACTTTCGATCAATCCCTTCCTCTAATCTCCGCACCTATGCTATTACAATATTCTATAGATATGGCGCCGTTGAAATCTAGTATAAGGATATTTGTAGCTATAGTTTTTAGTATATCCTATTATATATCAAATAGATGGCCTCTACCGCTACAATGCGAGAAGTTTGGATTTACTGACCCATCCCAAGAGCAATGTGAAGATCTCGCGTTATTTTATATTGAAGAACAGCTCGCACGTTTAAACTGGACAATGCGGCGCGCCCGTCTTCCTTCGCCGACTGCGATATGGACGAGCGTAGTCTCTGCGGAAGGCAATCATCTCCTTCAGGAGGAACGCTCTTATGATGTTGAGGCGTCAACCGGTATCACGGCGACGCTGCTTTCCGGCGGTGCGACTGCGCATTCCCGCTTTAAGATTCCCGTCAAAGATCTTAATGTGGATTCTGTTTGCAACGTGCCGAAAAACACGCATCTTGCTGACCTTCTACGTAATACCAGCTTAATCTTTTGGGACGAAGCGGTGATTTGTCATAGGCACGCGTTTGAAGCGGTATCTCGCAAGCTGCAAGATTTGCGTGACGCTGATGACCCGCGTAAACACCTTCCGTTCGGCGGGATTACAGTCTGCTTCTGCGCAACGCTGAAAAACGCCTCCTTTTGGCGTGGCATTAATATCTTGCGCTTAACAGAAAATATCCGCCTATAACGCGAAGGGATCAGCGCTAAGGAATGTGAGGAAATCGCCGCCTTCGCGCAACGATTACTTTCTGTAGGCGAAGAGACCGGTGTTGACGGATACGTAGACTGGGGGCTTGCTAGCTGTGCAATTAGTAACTCTATAACAGCATTAGTAGGCGATATCTATCAAGATTTATAGCGACGCGCTCCTGACACAGAAACCCTCAGCAGCCGTGCTATCCTCGCGCCTTATAACAAAGTCGTGATCGGCTTAAATCAGACACTATTAGAAAGTATGCCTGGTGTTGTGTCTAGCTTTCTCTCTGTTGATCATTGCGCTGCTGACTGCGCTGCTGTATATCCTACTGAATTTCTTCATGCAATTAATATACCTGAATTACCACCGCATGATTTACGCCTTAAGGTTGGATGTCCTGTATTACTACTTCGTAATCTTGACCTGTCTAACTGCCTTTGCAACGGTACACGACTACAGGTTGAACGTTTAGGACGCAATATTATCACATGCAAAATCCTTACATCGACGCATCGCGGCAAGATCGTAGATCTCCCGCGTATTCCTATGGGCTGTGGCGGCGGTATTATTGAGGGGCTTGAGTTTCAACGCAGGCAGTTTCCGGTATGTCTTGCTTTCGCGATAACGATTAACAAGGCACAAGGGCAAAGCTTTGAACGCGTTGGTTTGATCCTTGAACGTGAGGTTTTCTCGCATAGTCAGCTTTACGTTGCGCTAAGCAGAGTAACATCTCCTTTCAGCGTAACAATGATTTTACCAGACACTGCTGCAGCGCAGGCGGGTAAGGTGCGGAATATCGTGTTTCAAGAAGCGTTATGATAAGGGACAAAGATATAGTATATAAAGATAAAGAAAAATCACTTTTTTATTACTACTTTGCGTAACTATTATCTGGAGTTCGTGTTTTATATCTTACTGTTTATGGCTATTCTATAGCTATCATTTATTTCTCTACCACGTAGAGAGCAGGGTGGTCAAAAATAAAATTATCGTTTCGTAAACAATAAATTATCGTATTTTACGATTATTTTATGCTGAATAATATCGCGATTATCGGATTTTTTATAATAAACCGTATCACACAGACCACTTTTCCTCATCAAAATTCATTCTACCTCGTACGACAGCTACTTTTCTTCTTATTATGGCTACTGAAGAAGATTCTTTCATCTCTCTTGATTCATTTGAGTCATTTGAAGCATCAAGCACTCAAACCAGTCGTAAAAACACGTCTAGTATTCATCAATACTGTCGTACACCATCCAGCGATGAGCCTGCACGAGATAATCAAAATCGAAAGCTATACTACTGCTCTCTTTGTATATATACTGCAGCATCAACGACCAATATTCGATCATCTTTATTCAAAACATCAGATTGAATCTGATAGGCCTCTTCCTCGTACGAAAGCAACAGCAGCCAGCCAGCTTCAAGAACTTTGGAAACAAGCAGAGCTTCAGAATCAACCAACTGAGCTAAATTCACTAGTTTTAAGAAGTGTCTTGAATAAGCAAGTACTTGATCAAGCTCTTATTAAACTTATTGTCGTATGAAACCTCTCATTTCGAGTTGTTGAGTCGCCAGAGTTTCATACCTTCTGTCAAGCGCTGAACTCTGAATCAGTCAACTATATTACAACAGCTCACTCAGCTGTAAGTAAGTTGATCCAAAATTCATTTCAACAATAGAAGGATATCGTACGAAAAAAGGTCCAATCAGCTTTGACAGATATCCATCTTTCTGTTGATATCTGGACCTCTCCAAATAATCATCTATTATTAGCTATATGTGCTCATTTCGTTGATTCACAAGAAAAACGAATAAAAGCTCTTTTAGCTCTTCGTACGGTAGCTAACCATAGTGGAGAAGAGCAGTGGAATGTTCTTCTTCCTGTTCTTCAAGACTATGGTATTCTACAAAAGCTAGGAGTACTTGTGGCGGATAATTCAACAATAAATGATACCCTTTGTCGTACGATCTCTCAGCATCTATCAGATCAAGATATTACCTGGGATCCTTTACATCAACGAATTCGCTGTCAGGGCCATACAATCAATCTTATTGTTCAAGCCTTTCTTTTTACTCAGACTCAGCTTGAACAGATTGAGTCGTACGACAAAGAAAATACACTTGAGACTGAGTTAGATAAACAATCTCAAGTAGAAAGAGAAGAGGTCTTTCGTACGATAGGCATTCTTGGAAAGCTTCACAATATTATTGTCCACTCTCGATCTTCAGCAAATTGTACGAAAGAATTTGTGTCCTTTGCACAATAACGAATACCACTAGATAATTCAACACGATGGAATAGCTGGTATCAGATATTAAGTACTGCACTTAATAAAGAATCAGCTATTGATGAGTATGTAAAAGCCAATTTTGCATTGCTTGAAAAAGATCATCTTTCGCCACAAGACTGGACAGCTCTTCGTATGATAAACTCTTTCTTACAACGATTCTATCGAGCGACACTAGAGACTCAAGGTGATCGTGTTACACTTGATCAGCTTCTCTTTACAATGGACGTGCTTGGTAAACATATGGAAAAGTCACTTCAGCATTATCGTACATAAAAAGATCTAAGCGTTCGAATTCAACACGCTTTTCGGAAGTTTGAAGAGTATTACCGCAAAACAGATAGCTCTCCTTTTTATGCTGCTGCATTAATCCTTCATCCGAATCGTCGTACGAAGTATGCAAAAATATGGTGGAAAAGAGACTACCAAAAAGTTATTCTTCCAAAAGTCAAAGAGCTATGGATTCAGTATAGAGATTCAGGAAGTTTACTAACAACAGTGTTGTACGAAATACCAGATATTCAGCCTCTGAAAGAGCTAGATGAGTTTGATCGAATTGTTAATGAGTTTAATGAATGTATTACTCGTCTAGCAAGTCAAGATGAGTACGAAGACTATTGTGCTGAAGCACCTCATGATGTTCAAACTACACCTCTTCAGTGGTGGTGTGAAGGTTCACAAAGAAAGCGCTGGCCACGATTATCAGCATTTGCGATTAATATTTTGTCAATTCCAGCTATGAGCGATGAGCCAGAGCGAGTATTTTTAGGAGGCCGTCGTACAATGTCATGGGAGAGAATGCAGCTTGGTGTTTCAAGCCTTGAGCATACAGAATGTATGAAAAGTTGGCATCGGAGCGGAATTCTGATCGAAAAGGAATAAAAATACAATTAAACGATAATAAACGATGAATAACATAAAAAACCGATAAAAAACCGATAATCGTATCGTTTGTATCGTCTTATCGTTGACCACCCTGAGAGAGGAAAAAGTAGTCTCAGTCATGTTATGTCAGACGTTTTGTATCAGAGATACATGCAGTCTAGGCGCACTTGCCAGGTGAGGGACGTTTTACATCTACAGATGTGCGTTATCTATACGCGCAAGATGTAGGGCCCAAAGCTTACCATCGTCTTCATTGTCTTTATCGTCTTCATCGTCTTCAGTATCGTCTTCTCCTTCGTTATCGTCGTCCTCTATAGTCTGGATAGTCTGTACGCTGTATCTACGACTGGGAATCTCAACACACGCGGCACGACGATGAGCTAACGGCGTGTCGTCGTCGTCCTCCTCCTCAACCGTACGCGCGCGGTCACTATGGATAGGTGAAGACACAGTACCGGCGCGGCGACAACGTGCAGATGGCGTAGAGATGGATTGACGTCGCTGAGCAACACGGCCAATTACATCACGGTTTGTCGCGAACTCAGATTCATACCCAATGTCAGCAGGCGCGTCAGAGCCCTATTACTGAATTAGCTGTTGTCAAACTGCTTCTTCATAGCTACCAGCTTGACGAATAGCACGTTCACGGCGCTAAAAGTGCTGGAACACCTCAAGCATGATATCTTGCGCAACACCTAATGCATCCGCGTCGGACGTATCGGTTTGAAGAAGCTGCTTAAAACCTTAACCATGCTTAATTAGCATACATCAATGCAAAGCTTAAGGCGTTAGAACCTTTGTTCGTTAACATACGTCTACGCTGGCGAGGGATAATATTCTGCTCTTCAAGCGCCTCCTTGCGACGGTTACGCCTCTCTGTTACCGCTACACATTTATTAGCGATTATCTATGTGGAGCATAAATTAAGGTACGTACAACCAGTGTAGAATGTGCAGCGGTGTGCGTTGTTACCAAACACGCAGTTAGTACACGCGCTGTGGAAGATATCTTTGTCTTTATCAGTGAAGCGACGACAATCCATAAATGGACTATGCCTATGTTGATATGGCTTGCAGCGATCTTCGCCTTCGCGTACCTCTTCAGCGCGTACATGAGCGGCAGCAGGAATGAGGTAATCGGTACGCTTTGCTAAGTCGTAATGCGAAACATTCTCACGCCACTCTAGCAGTTGATCATTTACCTCTAGATAGTCAAGAATATCTTTCTCCCACTTGATTCCTTCCTGCGCTTTCTTATTCTTGCTCTTCTTTTGCTTTGCTTCATGTTCCTTAAGAAGTTGATGAATATACTCAATCGTCATAGCGTGAGCTAATAATATTATTAGTTATTGTTCACGTATAAAAAGCGCATGTCAATACATACCAGATGTATTAAGATTATCTTAACCTTCAAGTATACCTTTTTACTTATATAGTTGGTTAGGGTTATTACCACTGCTGCCAGCGCTTAAAGATCGGTCTTTGCGCTGCAGATGGATCGCTTACATCTATAACATATTACTTACGTTATTCTTATGTATAAGAATGCAGGTGAGGAAGGAGGGAAACGCCTGTGCACAGGTAAAAGGGGGAAGGGAGAAGAAGGTTATTGTTGTAAAGAAGATAAAATAATAGTAAGGAAGACGCTTTTATAATGTCTCTCTTTTATAGTTACTATTATAGATCTCGACTATTAACGCTTTTAAGTTTAGTGTAATATATATAATACCTTATATTATTATTATCTATTAATTTATAATAATTTATATAGTTATCTTACTTAACCCTATTACTACCCTACTACCTCTATACTATATAGTATGTGTTAAGCTATTAAGCTATACTTAATAATAATAATATTAAGCTAAGCCTAATAGGGAAGCGGAAGGCCCTAAAAGATTTATATAGAAGAAAACTTATATATTGGAATATATTTTATAGTTTTACTTAACATTACAAAACCTGAGATCAGTCATGCTGTTTATATAGACTGATTACCCCACTTTTATATATAACCTCGGGTAGTTGAATACCTTGGTTATTACAATATATAATTAATAAGAGAAATATATTTCATTCTGAATTAACAGTTTCATTCTGAATCAACACACCCCCTTAAGCTATTATAAGTATAACAATTTAGATACTTATTTATAGCTTACCTTAATTGTCTCTTATTTGGCTTAGGCTAAGTTTATTAAAGAATACTTGCCATTTAGGCCCTATAAGTATTTTAGTAAATCCATCAGCTATCATATCATTAGTAGGAATATATATAAGGTCTATATTATTCTCTACTATATGATTTCTGATGAAGTGGTATGTTATATCTATATGCTTTGTTCTAGCATGATATAACGGATTTTTAGATAATGCTATAGCAGATTGACTATCTGTATAGATTACCTTACTATTATTAATAGCTTTATTAAAGATATTGAGCTCTTTAATAAAATTATTAATGAATAGGTTTTCTTTTACCACTTCTTTATAGGCCATATATTCAGCTTCACAACTACTTATAGCAGGGGTTTTTTGAAGTTTAGAAAACCATGCTATAGGTGCTGTTTTTGCTTTTTGATTTTCTTTACAAGTAAAGAAAAATATATAGCCTGATGTTGATTTTCTTTCTACTAGATCACCCCCCCAATCTGAGTCTATATAGCCAGTTAAGTCTATTAGACTAGATTGATTTGTATTATAGTATAGGCAATATTTATTAGTATTTAATAAATATCCCCATAGGTGGTCTAGAGCTTTAAAATGTTCTGGACTTGGATTAGCCATAAATCTAGCTAGTAAGTAGACACTTATTACTAGATCAGGTCTAGTCCATGTTGTGAGGTATATAAGAGACCCTATTTCTTGCTGAAATTGTCTGGTATCTCTTATGTTTGCCTTACTAGTATTTTCTGTTAATTTTATACTAGTAGGTAGGAGTGTTTTCCTTGGTTTTAGTTTGGTTTTATTGAATTTACTAATAATATTATATATATAGTCTTCTTGACTAATATATATACTATTAGTTTCTCTCTTTATTTGAATTCCAAGGAAATACTTAATTTCACCTAGATTAGATATTTCTAATCCTAGTAAAATTAAGTTATTATAAAGGGTTTTTGTAAGATGATAATCTTTAGTAAATACTAATATATCATCTACATGTACTGCTAATTGTTAAGCTATTAAGCTATACTTAATAATAATATTAAGCTAAGCCTAATAGGGAAGCGGAAGGCCCTAAAAGATTTATATAGAAGAAAACTTATATATTGGTGTTGATTCAGAATGAAACATATTTCTTTTATTAATTATATATTGTAATAACCAAGGTATTCAACTACCCGAGGTTATATATAAAAGTGGGGTAATCAGTCTATATAAACAGCATGACTGATCTCAGGTTTTGTAATATTAAGCAAAACTATAAAATATATTCCAATATATAAGTTTTCTTCTATATAAATCTTTTAGGGCCTTCCGCTTCCCTATTAGGCTTAGCTTAATATTATTATTAAGTATAGCTTAATAGCTTAACAGGTTATGAGCCCGGCACTAAGCATAAGCCCTATGATAATTAAAGATTTATATATTCTTTTCTAAACCCACACTAAAGATAAGTCATATAAACAAATATATATATATATATACATATATATATATATATATAGATGACAATCACATGATAGTCACGTGATATAAATTACACGGCAATCACGTGACATTAATCACATGACAATCACGGGACATCCAATCACATGACAATCACGTGATACCTAAAAGAGCTTGGATATAGGCCTTGAATAGAAGATTAAGATACTCGTGGCTATAGTTATAGTATATATATATATATATAATACTATAGACTAACTAAGCTAGTTAAGTCTAAAAAGACTAACTACTATCTTAATCTTAAAGAAGGCTATACTAGGTATAAAATGGATATCACCAAATTTCCAAAATTAATAGGCTCTTCTAATTATGACCTATGGTCTATTAGAATGGAAGCTCTATTAATTGAGAGGGATTATTCAGATGTCAAAAATACTGCTGTTACCCTTGAAGCAGCTGGTAATAATGAAAGCCTATATAGAGAGTTACTAGTGAAGACTAATAAGGCAAGTGCCTTAATTAAGCTTACACTAGGTGATGGGCCATTATTACAATCAAGGTATATTAGTGATGCTAATATATTATGGGATAATCTTAAAAAACTATATGGTCAGCAAGGATTTAGTGCTGAATTTATTAGCTGTAAAGAGCTAATAAATACTACACTTAAATCTAGCAAAGACAATATGGAGATTTATATCCATAATATAAAAAGGCTCCTAAATACCTTAGCTTCATCTGATCTAGTTCTACCACCTAAGTTTATTGTAGCACTTGTATTAAATAATCTAAGCTCAGATTATGATTATACAGTAGCTATGATTACACAAACTATAAGGTCATCAGAAAAAGAAATAGATCTAGATCAGATATTTAGTCAGCTGCTAGATGAAAGCAAGAGATTAGGTAAAAAGGCTACTACTAAAGATATAGTAGATGTAGAAATGACTCTACCTACTAAAAGTAATAAGCCTAAGAAACCTAAATGTATATCTTGGCATAAAAGAGGGCATACAGAAGAAAAATGCTGGATAAAGCACCCTGAGTTAAAGCCTAAATCAATAAATAATACCTCTGAATTAGATAATAAGGAAGAATCAATCCTTATTACTAATCAAGTATTAAAAACTGAATCTATAGAATGGGTATTAGATTCAGGAGCTACTATTCATATTTGTAATAGAAAAGATATATTCCAATCTATTACACCTACAGATAAGATAATTATCTGGGGGAATAGTAGATCAAAGATAAAGGCTTCAGGAGTAGGTGATATTAGTATTATATTTATAAGTACTAATAAGCCTGCTATTCTAAAGAATGTGCTATATATCCCAGAGCTACAGGTTAACTTAATCTCTGTTAACCAGCTAATAAAAAATGGAATAGTTATTACTAGTTCAGCTAGTAAAACTACCCTAACTAAAAAGGGAAAGCCTATAGCTCAGGCAATCTATAAAAACAAGCTTATAATCTTAGAAACTAAGATAAATAAGCAACAATCGACAAAAAATGATGATTTAGTTTTCCTTACAGAAGAAAATCATGTAAAGAAAACTAAAAACTCAGAATATCAAGATCTATGGCATGCAAGGCTAGCGCATCCTAATAATAAAGTACTTTCTAAATTACAGGATAATGTAGAAGGTGCTATTATTAAGGATATCTCTCAAAAAGACTGCACTATATGTATACAAGCAAAGTTAACTAGAAATATTAGTAGAGAACCATCTACTAATAGTCCTAGATACTTGCATAAAATACATATAGATATAGGTGGACCTATACAGCCAAAAACACCAAGTGGCTATAGGTATTATATTACATTTTTAGATAATTACTCAAGATATCTTTCTACTGAATTATTATTAAGTAGAAAAGATATACATGAGGTAATTATTCGTAATATCCACCTATTAGAGAGACAAGCGCTAAATAATGAAAAATTGGCTATAATTCAGACTGATAATGAATTTAAGTCAAAAGCCTTAGCAGAATACCTATTAGAAAAGGGTATTATAATTGCTTATTCAGCTCCATACACACCTGAACAAAATGGAATAGCTGAAAGGGTAAATAGAACATTATTTAATAAGGTTAGAGCCTTATTATTTAATGCTAATTTACCTGCATACCTATGGGGTGAGGCTATTATGGCAGCTACCTATTTATATAATAGGACACCAAATAGCTCATTAAATTTTAAAACCCCATATGAGATGAAATTAGGTAAAAAACCTAATATAAGCAATATAATGACCTGGGGATCATTAGCTTATCGTAAATTACCTAATCAGGTATTAAATAAGCTAGATCCAAGGGCAAAACCCTATTATCTAATAGGCTATGGATCAAATCAATATAAATTACTAGATTTTACATCTAATAAGACTATATGGTCTAGAGATGTAAAAATACTAGAAGGCAAATTTAGAGAAATACCCCTTGATTCTCTAAAAGATCCTTATATATCTAGTGAGATATCAGATATAGAATCTGATAATATATCTGATCAAGAAGATATAGAGGATGAAATTGCTCTAGTAACTAGTAATAATCAGGAAAACTTAATAGATCCTAATAACTGGAGGTGCCTTTATAATCAGTTATTAGAACAAGCTTTAATAACTGATATAGAACCAACAAGCTATCAAGAAGTAGTTATCCATCCTGAAAAGGATAATTACTTAAAAGCTTGTAATCAGGAAAT